CTTGCGAAAGCCGTGCTGATGCTCGAAAAAAAGGCTGTGGGAGTCTAGAAAGTTTACTATGTTAGAATAGAATATATGCTCTAAGAGTTTAGACGACAAACTGGTGAGCGAGATCGGGCGATAGTTGTTGATTAGTTGGCGGTCACCTGCTTTGTAAACGGGGATGACGTTAGCGATTTTCCTATCGCATGGAATTTCAGAAAGCAAGAGTGGCCGAGTAACTGCGGGATTAGCGCCGAAGTCTGGTGTCTCTCTTTGTCCCGAAGCTCAAGGAGATTTGACCCTATGAAAGAAAGGGCTAGTCCCCGCTTCTCCCCGCTTCTCCCCAACGTAGGAACTCTCGCCTACTTCAGGAGGTGTAAACACTGGATCCTCTCAAAGGAGGCAACAAAACGCAGCACCTGCTATGAAACTCATCTGGTGCTGCGGTAGTTTGTGCTGTACTCGAAGAATCGCGTGCTAAAGGGCAACGCAAAGATTACCTTTTTGCCGTTGCCTTTCCTCACAGAACTTAGAATATGCAGAGCTTCAAAGATTCAAAGATTCAAAGATCGTTCGAGGAACCTATAGTAATTCCCTCAGCGTTTTTATATAAAAAAATGATAAACAAGCGGTGTTGGGAAGTACTCTATGTACATGGAGCTTAAAGTACTACTGTTTAGAAAAACTGCACTTTGCTTGAAGTAAATTTTCTGAACATGTACTTGTATTTTACGTGGAAAGTAAAACTTCCGACTTCAAAGTGCATACCCCGAAGTTGTAAAAAAAAAAAATGGCGTATCTTCGTGGGAAAGCACGCTCTTTCAAGACGTCATCTGGTCATTTCTCTGAGTGAAGTAATGGCGGCTATAAGACCGATACAAATAAGTGGCTTATAAGTTGATTCTGTCAAATAGCTCGTCAGTGAGAGTAAAACTACTACTCTGTGGCGACTTGACTTTATACAATATTTGCTGCCATTCCCGTAAAAAAACTGATGAACCTCTGATTACCTCTGGAGCCATGCGTAACAGTTAAAAAAAACACTGAGAATGAAAGGGCATCATGAAACATTTTGTTAAAAGCGCTGGTACTTTACCTTGAAATATATTGTATTTATATACGTTACTTCAAGTACATTGCACCCGGTGTACTTACTACTTTACTTGAAGTATATAACATCTAATTTACTTAGTACATTACGCAACACTGCAAACAAGCAAACACTGTTTAAAAATCAAGCTGAGGCAGTGCTAAACCTCAAAATCGAAATGACACATTTGCAGTACATCATTGACCGAACAAACAAGAGAGAACAAAACAATCTGGCACGCAGTAGCAGAACAAGCTATTAAAGTATTTCTTTGAAAAAAAAAAAAAAAAAAAAACAGCACGATTGATATTTGGCTAGCAAAATTTCACTAAAGGATCAAAGCCTATGTACTTTGTTTTTACCATAACAAAAACATTTAAAAGTAACTTCAAAGTAACTTCAAAAGTAATTCGCTACTTTTTTACGGTAATTAGTAATTTTCTCAATTAGCTTCCATTTGAGTAATTTCTACTCTACTCAAATTACTTTTGAGGTAAATACTCAGTAACTTATCTTAATTACTTTTTTTAGTAACTTGTACATGTCTGATATATATATATATATATATAGACAAAGAAAATATAGCGTAGGATGCCGAAGACTATAAAGTAATAAAGTCGCACTTCGAAACGTTGTTGGAGTTTTAAAGCATTTAGTGAATCGACGTTTCGGCCTGAGACAGGCCTTCTTTATATATATATATATATATATATATATATATATATATATATATATATATATATATATATATATATATATATATATATTGTATTCTTTCTTGTGGCTGTTGTACTAAACTAATAAATTCAAAAATCTATGCGCGCAGTTTGGGGGAGGGGGGGGGGGGGGGGGGTTCCGTTTCCGTATATTTTACTGTGAGCGACGGATACTACTGAAATAAAGATGCGGGCTTTTAATTCCAGTCTTGCGATAAAAGAAGACACTTCATTCTCAAGGCCAAAACAGCGTCACGTGAATCTGTGGCTCCATTTCTTTGTTTTAATACAGGGCATTTTATTTCTTATTAATTCTCAGGTAACAGGTTTGTCTTTTATGAGGTGGCGCTTGCCAGGATACCCTTGCATTCCTCCCCACATCTTGACGCAGCAAGTGGAGCGTCGATTTTTCTTACTTTCTAGTTCGCTATTTAATTTAAGCATATAAAAACACAAAAACCGTGTCATAAAAAAAACGGAAGTTTAAACGTCTGCCTTTGTCACTATGCTCGTTTTCACCTCAAAAACCGTAATAAAAAAATAAAAAAAAAGTCCGTCTCTTTTAAAATGGAAGCTTGGGGGTGTCGGTGAGGCATGATTACCTAAAACGTACAGCGAAACAGAAGGGACGTGTAGCGTAAACTAATCTACATACCGTAAACATGCTAAAAAAATGAAAAACGTTTACAACTCCCTGTAATGCCGAATCAGAGCGCAGCTCTTGAGAAGGAGGAGGGGAGTACGGAGGGGACGGTATGCCCCTCCTCCTCCTTCCTCCCTCTCCTCCTCTCTCCCGCGCGGTGCATTATGGAAAACGTCCCATAATGCAACGCGCGCGTCACCGCGGTGCATTTGGTGCATTATGGGACGTTTCCCATAATGCACCGCGCAGTGCCGAAACATCACCGAGCCGAGACGTCCGCGGGGTGCATCATCGGAAACGTCCCATAATGCACCACGGTGATGTTTCGGCACGGTGACGTTTTGGCAGGATGCCGAAACGCCGCTTCCGAGACGTCACCGATGACCCTCGTGACGTCTCGAGAGACGTCACGACCAACGTTATTCGATTACCTCAGTTGTGGAACTCCCGCGGAGGGGGGTACCCCTCCTCACTCACTTCAATCCGCCAAGCGTCGTTCGAAGCGCCATCTATATTTTCGTTTCATAACTATGCGTTCCGAAGAGCCCAGCTGAAGCGCCAAATGGCGATCACAACGCCGCCATTTACCCTGCAGCGGTCGCTCGAGGAACAGCACCTTACATCTATTTTGGCTTCAATCGGCCAGGAGCCGAAACAGATACAGTGGAAAGGGTTACAGAGATACCACACCCGACTCCCCCGCGGACGCGCCGCGAATTCTCCCCGAAGTTAATATGAGCCTAGGTCGGGACGCGCTACCTGAAATTATCACTGAGGCATAGTTGTATGAAAAATATATTATTGTGCCGCAAAACCTAGCAAACTACAGATTTTAGAAAACATCACGCGCCCCCCATTTTGTACTAAACTCCAATAAAAGGTACTACAAAGAGAGTTTTTTTTTCGTTGGTTTTTACGTTTCTAGTAACGTTGAAAGGTACGTCTCCTGATTCAGTTACCAAAGCAGCCGTCTGGCGGCGCGTCGAGCGACGCTCGGCGAGTCGTGGTGAGTGAGGGGGAGTACTGTTCGTGCATGCGGCGTCTATGAGCAGTTCCGTAACTGAGCTAACCTAATAACGTTGGTTACGACGGTCCCGCGCGTTGCATTATGGGACGTTTCCCATAATGCACCGCGTGGTTACGGCGACACCGCTAAAGCCGGAAACGGGCGCCTAAGAGCTGCGCTCTAAAAATCACGCGTGGCTTTTTTCGACCTTAAAAACGCGATCAAACACCGCGACACGCCACTTTTCCTAAACATCTTGGATGTTTGGTCGCGTTTCTGATGGGCCTCGAGATGGAAGCGTGGAAGCGTGCGTTCGTTTATCCATGGTTCTCTATGAGTCACGTGGTGATTCCCTCTGTTCACAATGCCAGTGGAGACAAAGCATCCACACTAATGGCACAGAGCCCGGGCAAGGGTACAGAGCACGAGCCCTTAGCAGTTGAGTAGTGCGCGAGCGCTGCACAGTCGCCTCTCATGGCCTCGGCCTCCGCGTGCGCAGCATTCATTTTGCTCCAAGTAAGTGTAAAACAAAGCGTACTCCTGCTTTTCACCACACGATCGAATCTCGAGGCGAATAGGATGCTTAGTTAGATTGAGTTGGCGCTATATCAAAACTATCTAAAAAATAAAAACGCAGTTAACGTTATAGTTACTAAGGTCCGTTAAAGTGAATTCGGCGTGATCCCATTTTTTTTTTCTATTTTTTCTACACGTGATTGGTTTAGTTGGTGGTAACAAACGCACAAAGACAAGGAGAATTGTGACAACGCACTTTTGGCGGGGCTTGATTGGCGGCATCGGATCGTAGTTTTGACTGCGTTATGTCTTAACCAGAAAAATTGAGTATAACTGAACTTTAATTGGAGAAAAAAAAACATACATGCCTTCTTATCACAATGATGGCGCAACGTGTTTGAATTTCTGGTGTGATCGGTGCAATGACGGAGAGCTGGTGCATCTGGTATCACTAGAGAACTTAACATTAAAACCCTAAAAAAATATAAAAAGTCTCCTTCTGTAAAGTTTTTTTTTTATCATGATCTGTCATTGTAGCGCATTATTTGTAGGGAAAGAACGAGCGGGTTGGTATGGATAGTAAACTTGAGGAAGGAAACGAGAAAGGACGGACAAACACAAACTTCCTTTTCTTTTCTTTTTTTTCTTTTTTCTGGACTTATTCCCGGGCGCTTTTAAGCCGTGGTCCCACTGCTCATACATCATACAAGAGACATCTGTGGACACTGTCTGAATCGTGTTGGATAAAACTGTTTGCAGACATGTTGGAAGCGTATGAAGCAAGCGTGGTACCTCGAACTTGAGGTGCGTTGTATATGAGCAGTGCGACCGGGCAGTGCTGCGATATACAGACTACACACCTATCTTTCGATTCTATCGTACTAAATAAAGGTGTCGTCAATATTGTACCGCGGGAGCGTAATATGGAACTTTCCAATCGCGCCATATGCACGAAGGCCGGAAATAGCGCTGGCCTGCGGCCCTTTCCCGGGACAATCTCTAATTAGAAAGTCTTTGGACGGTGCTATCATACAGCGGGGCACTCACCCAAACACGGTCCCGTACTTGTCCTTGAGCGCTTCCACTCCACGATGGCCGTCCTTGGGCATGAACGGCAGGTAACCGACGAAGGGGAGGCCGTAAGGTCCCGGTGGCAGGCCCTTCTTGAAGTTCCTCTTCAGCTGGTCCCAAATGTACTGAACCAGCAGGACCCCGAGTCCCGCGACGCATCCCGTTGCCAGACACTTCCAGACGATGTCCAGCATGGCTCGCTTTCACTCCTCAGTCCCTCACTGAGGACCGTGGAGAGTCTGTCTCCCTGCAGCGGCGTCGGTGGACGACCAAGATTATGTCGGGTCAGCGACAGCCAAACACGAAAATAAACATCGCCCGCGCGAAAGAGCGCTCGCGCGGCAAGGCCGGCTTCCGAGCGCCCTTGAGATAACTGAAAGGCGCCAATAGGAGCAAATGACCCTGCTTTCCTGCGCGCAGCGACAGTTTTCTCGATAAAAGTGCTTCCGACGAAGTTTGCATGTACTGATCGAAGATCGTATCTTCGACCGTAAAACCCATTTGCTTTACCTTTGTCTTTTGTCTCGCAGTCGATGGGCCGCGCGATTCTACTAGAGTGTGCCTCGTTTTCTTTGTGTGTAGCCATAAATGTCTGTCTTCTGACGACAAGAGCTCCCAATAGACTTTCCGGTTTAAACCAAAAAACACTGGTAATCATTCGTCCGCTTTTCAAAGTACAAAAATGGCTAACACCGAAAAACACAGAAAAACAACCCTTGTTCTTAGGCATACAAACTCGATTAAAACGGAATAACGCAGCTTTATTGAAGTTACTGCTCCAGTTATCACTTTTTGTCAAAAACCCTCCCCCCCTCTTAGGCTTGAGCTTTTAGTTTTTCGTGCGATGTTTTCACTCATTATAAACCGTTTTTAGCATCCGTTCAAAACAGGTTGCCAAAATACACAGATATATAAAATATAAATAGACAGGCAAAAAAGATTCGCCGATTTTTGTTGTAAATAAACGCAAGAAAATATACGGAGAGCAAGTCGGCCGCTTCTTGCGCAGGAGTTGCGATGACGTCAAAACGCAGCCAGAAAACGTAAAAGAAAAAGCGAACGTTCTTAAAGGCCTCTGGAGATTATTTATCGCAATTGCATTCAACGCGGAACTGCGGCATGGCCTTCGGGCGAATATACGCGTAATCATACCACAAATAACTTGATCCTTTGTGATATGGCGCGTAGTACGTCGGTGGCACCCACCACGTGGAAAACAAAAAGTAAAAACAAAACAAAAACAAGAGTAAAGTGGATGCCGGAGACGTGCTTCCTCTTATCCACTTCCTGATTCGCGCGATATTGACCTGTAGCTCTCAAGTTTCAAGCAGCGCCCATGGCGAGCAAAATCGATTATTTTTAGGTCGCGTTTCCGTTGTGTGTCGCGTTGCGCTTTTTTTTAAACGCTACGTAGGTTCCCGTAGACAGACGCTAAGTAACGCTGCGAGACGCTAGTTTTACGCCTCTGCATCCTGCATGATTGAACTTATTGTTGGAATGATTAGTCGAACGCGTTCGAATGCGAGAGCCAAACGCCGGATGTCTGCGTTCCGTTTTCTAAAACGTTCCAATGCAAAAGTCAAACGTTGGATGCAGGCGTTTTGTGTTGTAACGCATTCTACGAGTGCAGTGGAGATGAAGGCGTGTTTCAATGTTCAGAACATTGAAAAAAAATTATTCATCAGGGTTTTGTGAAGCGTGTTGAAATCTTCTTAATGAGGTTTCTCATTAACAAGTTTTTAGCATGCTTCATTGCATACAAGCATGCACAAAGCTGGTATAATTTGTCTAAGGTAAAATGATATCCTAATAAGGTCCACTGCTTCGACTTGATTTAAATAAATGTTTCTTATAGCTGTGCATGGAAGTGGAAGTTAGATTTTAATCCTAAGTTGTGGTCCTGGAGAAAAGACTGACCGATGCTGCCAGAGTGTTTTCCGAAAGCCAAGAAAATTAATCAACACTCTTGGACAATATGAACTACTTGCGGCGCAACATAGGACACAAACTAATAAATGAGTTAGGTGTGGAAGCAGTTTTCAACACTTTCTATCAATTCTCTGTACATGGTGTACATTGGCATCTCTGCCTAACAGGGCAGAATGTTTAGTTAGGAGACATTGTCTCTTGCCACTTTCGTTGCGAAGGATATAGCCCCAAAGATTGCATACCACGGGCCATAAGTGCCAACTCAAAAATCATATCTTCAAAAAACCATACCCAAGATCACGCTCGGTGACGGTGTAAATTGTGTTTTGTATGTGAATTTGCCTGAGGACCTTCAAACCAAACAACCTGCCGAGAAAAATGTGTCACTTGAAAAATCGAGAACACTGCTGCTGTTACAAAGAAGCAAGAATGCGCCAGTGTTTTTAAAAAAACGTTTCTGCACTTAATTAAGTCACGCAATCCACTGCTTGAGCAGGCACTCTAAATCAAATTTGAGATAAAGTGAAATGAACGCCAGCCTTTTACTTACTCCCCGAAATGGTCCTACTGCGGTTCCTTTATTAGTATGCATGTATCAATTACATTTTTGGATCTCTCTGGCCTATATTTCGTGAATTGCTCCACCTTCTTTGTTGTTCGGTTTCTTCAATGTTATTAGCGCGGGTGCTCCTTGATTACAGGTGTCGAATGAGGTTTGTTTCGCGATAAAATGTAAAGCGCGCTAGAAATAAGGACGAAAAAGAGAGGACACATACGGACAGGCAAGCGCTATAGCAAAATGATTCGTTGGCCTCGGTGGTTAAACAATACGAAAATAAAAAGCTAAATTCTTTTTTTGTTGGCCTAGTTGGTTAAACATTACGAAAATAAAACGCGAAAGACAAGGACAAGAGGGAGACTACACAGGACCTGTGTAGTGTCCCTCTTGTCCCCGTCTTTCGCGCTCTTTATTTTCGACAAGCGCTTCATGGCAGCTGGGCTTTAACTAAAACTTGAGACAACACCCTTCCCCTGCTGCACATGCGCCATGTTTTATTTGTGTCAGAAATAATTATCTTTGTACACTTCTTTTTGTAGGTGCCACTGGAGAGCTACAAGCCACTGCACCCTACAGTTACACTAACCTTGAAGGGACCTTCATTTTTGCTGGCAGCGAAGCTGAGGTTGTTCGACTTTTGACTGTCACTCTGGAGCTCGCCCTAATTTTGTGTCTTCTCACGTATTGCATCAGGAACCTTGAATACCCGTATGCGTTTTCGAAAATGCTTACTCCTACAAATAATGACTGTGCCGGGCGGGCCTGTGCCTAATCGGGTCATTCGAAGGCGTTAAAAGTGCCTATTGGCACTGTTGCAAAAGGACGTTTCCGGATGAAAGGTCAAAGGCTGAGTGATACATTTTGTTTGCCTTTAGAAATAACCAACGATTATCCTACGCGAGAAACATTTTTTATGCAATAGCTTTGCCCCTTTTTGGCTGTTTTATTGTAAAGATTTAAAATTCGTTTGTCCCTGTTGCCAGTAAGGCCTTTATTATATGTTCTGAGCTGACTTTACCAATAAAACTGTTCACTATTCATCTTTTTTTGCAATGTGATTCATAATTTTGGCGGAAAGGCCCAGGAAGCTGTAGAGTACAAGTTTGATAGGTAATGATTGTTGCATTTGCTGTCATGTTTTGAATACCTTCTTTATTAAAGATCTTCACTATTCAATTCAGAGTAATACATTTAGAGAAAAAATATAACATTTTCTGTGACGCCACAAATTATGGTGAAAGTTTGGTAAAACACTACTTCGAGAAATATGTTTTTTTTTTTGTTTTTTTTTTGACAAAGCTGATTTATTATTTAGGGGCTGTGTTATAAGTATATTTTTTTTCAAATGAGGTCTGAATTATGCTTAAAAAAAACAGTCAATTAAAATCGAGGGAGCTTTGTCAAGATAGCCTATTTTTGTAAAGCATTATGTCATCAAAGTTTCACCATATATTTATGTGTTGTGGAAGAAAAATAATTATGTAACCTTTCAGTTTGTTGCACCGTTTAAAGGTTACAACTAATGGTAAACAGTAAAAGCATACAATGTAACCTCTAAAACATCTGAACCGTGTATACCTGTACTAAAGGTTGCAGCGCTGTAGGTTACAATGTACCTTATAAAATAAAGGTATACTAAAATTTGAAAACGTGAACCTATAGCAAGGGTTACTGAGCTTAGAGTGTACCCCTAAACCGTTGCAACCAAAGCTCGGGGTTCTTCCGCCCAAGCGCTCTCTCCTCTCCTCGTCTCCCTCTCGACGGATACGTGTTCTAATTTACCGTTTCTGCAGTAAATATCCGCACGACAAGAGAAGATTGGTAATGAGCGGAGAGAAGAGGACAAAAGATATTCCTAGAAGAGTGTCGAAACAGGCATACGCGTGTGTGTGTGTGTGTGTGCATCCGTGCGTGGTCGCGTGTGTGTGTATGTGCAGTTCGTCTGTGTACGCGTGTGCGTACATTACGTGAGCGTGTGTGTCTGCGCGTTTTTCCGCAAACAAAATAGATAAACGAAAAAAATATAGACAATTGTCTGCTTGTCTTTTGATCTCTCTTTATTTTAGAATAGTTTCTATTAGCTGATTTTCTGAAAACGCGCTTTCTACGTGACTTGTGCGCTTTCTTATTAGACGCGACCGCCGGCCATATGGCTCACTTTCCGTCAAAAGTGAAGGCGGGATGCTTCGAGAAGTCTCGCATAAAAGCAATACCTTTTGTTTAGCTGTAATGTTACAGCCAATATTAATACTTTTTAATGGTAAATTTACACGAGCCTCCCCCAAACTTTTCAGTAACTATTGCAGTCTCGCATCTGCAAAAAAAAAAAAATATCTGAAATTTATTATTTTGTTTCTTAAAGGCAAATTAGTAGAAAAAAATGTTCCGGAAACGTACGAAAACACGATCGGACGGATCAAACCACTCTCTTTCCGGTAAGGGCCGAAGTAGGTTCTCCCCATGCGTAATTTTTATAATATAAGCATTTTTCAGATCCTCAGATCTACGCTCTGTCGCCTAACGGAAGTATCCTTCTGGTTCGACGGGGAACTCGAGGGAGACACGGGGGGGGGGGGGGGGGGGGGTGAAAACCGCACCACGGCCTCCTACAAGGCCGGATCACGGAGTTTCACACGTCACGTATTGGAGGCCGGCGCGGGACACAGGCACGAGTGCGTGCCGCGTCAGCGTTCGGCTGAGACTTGCCACCAATCAGTGAGGACGTGTCTCCAACCTGTGCCTGCGATTGCCTTCGGTATGTAAAGTAAAACTCTGGACTTTTTTTTACGTATACTTCATAGCCGACGTTCAGGGCCTATAGAGCTAATTAAGTAACGCCGAAAACACGACGGCACAGTGTTCGCTGTCTTGGCGAGCTTATCCACTGGCT